CTGTTATTATGTAAATGCAGCTGAAATCACAGCACAGCCATGATTGTTGACATACGTCAAACGGTAAAGTATTCACAATAGCCTTACGAATCTCAATGAATAAAACCGTGAGGAGCAATAAGATAAAACAGGCTGAAAATCATCTCTACGCTCCTGTATTCTCTTTCATTTCACGGTTATCTCATCTGCTCTTCTGTTTGGGAACAGTTTTTCGGTTTCAGTTTGAATGCATCCACAGACTGACATGCCCTATCCGATTATGACACGCGTATCAACATGTCGCTTCACACCGTATTTGGCCTCTGTGTGAAATTGACAAATAACTAGCAAAGAAAGACAAAAACTCTTTTTAAGGACATATTGCCGCTTGATTTTCTTCATGGTAGCTTCCATCATATTCAACAAAATCTGCAAAGAATGTGACTTTTTGCTGACGTGTGACTTTCCCTGATGAGTATGACATCAGACAGGCCAACGTCCTCCTTCCAACTGTAATTTAAAAAAGCCATTCCTTTATATACACAGAGTAAAGCCTTTAGAAAATGTGGGACACTGTCTCAAGACGTGGGACAAGGGATAAAAACAGAGAAACATCTGGTCACCCTAGTGACATATTCTGTGACAGGGGCTTAAAAAAGTAACCAAATCACAGGTTAGGTAGTTCTTAGAGATTATCAACAATTTCATTTTGTTTGTGTAATTCAGACCACATTATCAGAGCTCGATCAACATCTTAATTTTGCTGCTGAAGCCATTTTCAGGGAGTTAACAATATTAACCAATTGTGCGGGGAAGACAGAAAAATGCAGTTAAACATAAACAAGTCTAACTGCACATTTTATATATCAAATATAAGTGAAAGCAGTGAACTTTCAACCGTTTTTCTACAAGACAGAGAATTACTGCTGTAGTAACTGAAAGAAGTGCACAACTTTTTGGGCTTAAATTATTTCTGTAAAATTGCAGAAAAAGTTCTGGGGGCTCACAAACAAGACTGTCCTGTAATAACATTAAAAAAAGAAGGAATTTCCTGCTTTTTCACATTACTGTTATTTAAATTAATAATTATTAAGTACTAAGACAGTATGAGTGGGTGAACTGGCAGAGCTTTAACAGTTGTTTCAGCTGTTTATAACATTTGTGAAGCATCAGAATAATTCTGTTTCTAAAGCGATTATTTTAATTCTATAAATCCTTTTACATTTAAAATGAAATCATTGCTTTTCTTCACATTTTCCAAAGCTGTTAAGGGGGCCGGGTTGGAGTTTTTGCCGTGCTAATTCGAGCACCTGGGCCTTATGTTTGACATCCCTGCACTAGACACTATATTGTGCATCTGAATTGTGTTTTCACCATTGTCTGCATGGGCAGGTTTTGATAAAGTTACAAATGTTTATGAAAGAAAAAAATGTCCCGAACAATGGGATAGAAATTATTTTGTGAAGATGCAATCTACTCATTAACACAAACAAAGGTGATCCAGGGTAATTCCAAGGGGACACATGGGCGTGCCCCACGTCATCTTCAATAACAAACACACACAAAATGCTTTTATTTTGGAAAGGAAAATTATTGAACTTCTTTTTTCTTTAATAAAATAAAAATGGTTAATGATCATGAAGGGCATGTTGGGCTTCCCTAACAAATCCTGATCAATTATCAGGAGGTCACACTTCAAACTCAACTTAGCTGCTCCTAACCAAAAGCCCCCACATTAACTATGATTCTAATAAAGGAGCTTTGGAGAGGTGATCCCCGCCTGACTTCAGGCGATGCAGCGAGTGTTGATCTGGGACGTGTTGTTCTTTGAGCTCCGTGATCTCACACAGTGCGTAGCTTCTCTCCGCTGCATGATTGGCTTTACACATTTCTCCCTCTGCTTTTCAAAAATCACTCGGATGCTCCGTGTGTGACAGCAGCGCCACATGGCCGGGTAACGCCCCCTCAACGCACACCGACCACATCCCAGGAGATGTGCCGCAATTTTTTTTTTTTAAAAAAGTAATGAGACCGCAGACACACGATGTGCGTTAAATCCACAGGCCCGTGGGTTATGTTTTTAAACGGGCGACCAAACGCTGAGGCCTACGATGTCACATTTCTGTGTGCACATCGACGCAAACTCGGAGCAAAATCACTAACGACGAAAGAGCGTCGATACAAATGGGTATGCAATCATACATGTAAATGCACATATATACATATAAAAGAATAACAATTAAGTCTTTCAAGTAACGGAGAAAAACGCAAATATCGTAGCTAGTATTTTCAGTGCGCCTTTAACGGGAGGAAAACAGCGCAAATCTTTGCGCAGAAAGCTCAGTCAGCTACAGCATCATTTACATGTGAGCGTATTAACAAAGCTAAAGTCCGACCGCCGTTTGTTGTGTCTTAACACTCTGCCCATCCTGGTTCACTAGCAAAGCCACACATCTGCTCCGTTTCTCCCAAACAGCCGCAGACTCCCCTCCCTCCATCCTGCTACAAACACACCGCGGCGCCATGATCTCTTTGTTTGCTTCGGGCCGAACCCGACCAGACCGACACTTTCTACGGCAGTGTCCCGTCCCTGTGAGCCCCGGACACCGCTTCGTCCTTACCGATACAGTCTCCCTTCGTCACTCCCAGGCCTCCGGAGCTCCACTTTTATTCTGGCCGACACGTAAGAGCCCGCGTCAGGCTACACCTCCGCCGCGTCACCGGGAACAACAACACGGAGATTGGAGAAGGACGAGAAAGCAGATGGCGACGCTGACCGGAAATGAACGAAGCGCAGACGGAAAATGCCGGAAAATCCCGAGAATGAACGGATAGCAACGACACTCTCGTGCCCCATGAAACGTCTGGCAAAATAACTAAAAAAAAAACAACACGCGGTTTATTTGCAATTCAGTAATTACATAACAAAAGCAATAAAAATCTGTCAGTTAAAGCTGGTGGTCATAAAAGCGTGTTGTAAACGTGAGGGTCGCTGCGTTCATCTAAAGCCGTATTAGACATATGACAAAGCAGGAAACAGAAATTCTGTAAAATATTAGTGACAGACAAGCTACTTTCTATTTTTTTCTATGTTTTTTTTTAAATATATAATTTTTCAACTGTATTAATACAAACACGGTCCAGTTAACTAATTAATTTGAAAGCCCCGTGGTTTTATCTGAAAC